GGCTCTTTTTATCCCTCTGCTGTGGGTCCCTGTCACTCAAAATATGCATCACAACCGCCATTGTGTGCAACACCTGCTGGCACGCGATTTGAGCTTTTTAAAAAAAACAACAACAGGTTTTGTTGCTCCCGGTGTTTTCTTTTCTGTGGGAAATGGATCAAAATGGCTCTTTGAGTGTTTAAGGTTGCCGACCTCTGGCCTCAGGGGTGGGACAGGGTGGGATTCTACCAGTTTGCACCTATTTGCTAGAACTGGTTGTTAATATTCTAAGCAGTTTGGAGAACCGGTTGTTAGAAGAAATTACTGGGCTAATCCTGTAAGGAAGGCAGGAAGGAAACATTCTGGTGTTGCTTATAGAAACTGCCTCTCCGTTAACCCTTATTACACTCTTGGCAGGACCAGACTTCCTGTCTCAGGAACTTCTCTGGAGTTTTTTCCCCCTCCTTTGCTGGTACTTTGCTTGTGTGGTGCGACCATTCAAAGTTACCATGGCACTGAAAAAAGTGACTTATGACCCTTTTTCACACTTACGACTGTTGCAGCATCCTCACAGTCATGAGAGGCCAGGTGAGGCAATGTGTGCCCCGATGTCAATGATATTGAGCTGGCCACACCCAGCCAATAACATGACCACCAAGCCACGTCCACCCAGTCACATGACCACCAAGCCAGGCCCATCACCTGAGCCACGCCCACAGAACCAGTTGTTAAAATATGTGAATCCCATCCCTGGGTGGGATGCTACCGGTTCTGCCCGGCAGAAGAACAGTGACACTGAACGAGTTATGGGTTTGCTGCTGTGTGGCCCACCTGCCTGCCCGGGCTCTTACCTGTCCTTTATTTCCTGCTTTTTCAACCTCAGGTGCTTTGCGCGGCACAGCTGAGGTTGAAAAAGCAGGAAAAAAGAGTCTTTTCTAACCTTGCGCATCTGCGCGCAGTGCTTTTCAGCTGTCTGGGCGGCACAGTTTAAGGTTTTTTTACACGCACGCACAATGTGCACACAAAACCTAGTCACCAAACCAGTAGTAACACCGGTTGAATCCTATTGCCTGCCTGGCTTAGTGTGTCAGTCCAACACAAGAGATCACACTTCCTTTTCACCTGGTGCACAAAAGAATACAATACGGGTAGTCCTTGGCTTACAACAGTTTGTTTAGTGACCTTTCAAAGTTACAACGGGCCCCACAAAAAGTGATTTAGGACAACTTTTCACACTTACGACCACTGCAGCATCCCCATGGTCATATGATCAAAATTCAGGCACTTGGCAACCAGCTCATGTTTATGATGGTTGCGGTGGTGCCACAGGGTGGTATAATCAACTTTTTCTAACCTTCTGACAAGCAAAATCAAAGATTCACCAGATTCACTTAACTACCAGGTTAGTAACTTAACTACAATGATTCACTTACCAACTGTGGCAAGGAAAGTCATAAAATGAGGCAAACCCCCCTTAAATGTCTCACACCAGATACATTTTGGGCTCAATTGTTGGTCGTAGCTTCAGCTACCAACAACCGGCCATATTCTGGCTTAGTGCAATGCGCAACACGGGATATAAACATATTTGAAAATCTCAGTCAATGTTTTCAACAGTTTGGTGGCCAACCAAGGATGAGATTCCCGCTTAGAAGTTCCTTTTAGGATGGATGGATGGATGGAAAATGCCTCTTTTAAAATAGTTCTGTCCACAGTGTGTTGGCTTTAGAGAGGATCCATTTTGAGAAAAGCAGAAACAGTGTTTGGCTGCTACAACACAACAGTGTGTGACAGCAGTCAAAAATACACACAAATGCAATCCTAGACTGCATCAATGGAGTGATAGAATCAAGATCATGCAATGTTCTAGTACTGCTTGCAAAGCTTTAGTAAAAACCACACTTGGGACTCTGCATCCAGTTCTGGTCACCCCAATATAAAAAAGATGTTGAGGCTTTGGAAAAAGGCCAGAGAAGAACAACTAAGATGATTAAAGGCTTGTGGACGAAAACATGCGAAGAACAGTTGTAGGATTTGGGTCTGGCTAGTCTAGAGAAAAGAAGGACTGGGGGACATGGTAGTATTTGAGGGGCTGCCACAAAGAAGAGGGGGGGTCTATTTTCCAAATCCCCCAAAGGCAGGACAAGAAACAATGGGTGGAAACTAACCAAGGAGAAAAGCAACCTGGAATTTAGGAGAAACTTCCCAACAATGAGGGCCATTAACCAGTGGAACTGCTTGCCACTAGAAGTTGTCGGTGCTCCATCACTTGGAGGCTTTTAAAAAGAGACTGGCCAGCCATTTGTCTGGAATGGTATGGGATTTCTTGCTTGAGCAGGGGGCTGGACTCTATGACCTCCAAGGCCCCTTCCAACTCTGCTATTCTATGTTCTAAAGCCCAGCTGTGCACCACTAGGAAATATTCACCCCTGCCTCCAGGCAGTGCCAGCCTGCTTGCTAAATCTGCTCCTGAAATGCTACAAAAAAAAAGGCGGAATATTCTACCTGACACTGTGGTTTCTTCCCCAAACCCCAAAAACTTTAACCTAATAGTAGACAGTCTACTATTGACCTCACCTCTTTCCTAAGAGGTCTGTGCATAAGCGCACCAACGTGCCTATCATCCCTGTCCTCGTTTCTTTTATATATTTTTTATACGTATCCATTTCATGTATTCATAACTATGTTTATACTTATACCTGTTATCTTATAATTGCTTGACAAAATAAATAAAAACATTAGCTTGCAAAGGTGGCCTGTTAAGTGTGTGTGTGTGTGTATACACACCCACATTTTTTTGTCATTGCACTTCATACAAGGAAATTAAATGCCATCTTCAGTGTACATTATACAAAAGAGCAGAAGAAAACTATAAAAACAAATTAAAGAAAAACACACACATTCTATGCAAACGAGATGAATTTAGGAGTCCAGGTAGGATTCTGCAAAAGGGATCCCACCCAAGGTGGGCTGGCCAAAGCCCACCCTCATCCTCCCAAGAGACACAGAGAAAGCCTGAATCCTGCCTCCAGCCCTCTTCGGGCCAGGGTCCCTCTTGGGGGGGGGGGGGGCTTCACCTAATCCCTGGCATCCCTTGAACCCAAAGCCGATCCAAGCCCAGCAAGCCACAGGCTGGGACTCTTGCAAAACGATTGCCCCACACCCCATATCCACCCCACCCCCCCGCCTCCAGTCCAGCCTCGCAGCCCTGTCCGGCCTGATCCGGATCCTGAGGGCGCTCAGCTGTGGGCTTCGCTTGGGACGGCTGGCACGGTGGCGCCGGGGACAAGTGGGACCCCGCAAGAGTGTCCAGCCTGGCCTCCACCGCCCCCACCCCCGACCACGGTGCCCACCTGGACCGCAGGCGTCGGATGCTCGCCCCCCGGAGGGGCTCCAGGTTGGCCATCCCCGCTGCCTGCGATGCCCAGGGGAGGGGAGGGGAGCGGAGGGGAGGGGAGGGGGGGTTGCCTGGCCACGCCCCGGACCGTGATGTCAGCGGCGCTCTCCGCCCCCGCCCCGCGAGAGCGAGACCCCCTCCCTGGGAGGACCGACTGACTGCCCGGGTCGCCTTTTGGGTTCTGGCTCCTCTCCAGCTCCAGCCCTTAGGGGCGTGGGACCCTCTGCGAGCCCCGTTGGCACCCTTGCCAAGTGGGACCCCGCAAGAGCGTCCAGCCTGGCCTCTCCTCCTTTCCCGCCTTCCTTAGGATTGGAAACTCGTCCTCCTCCTGCTCCGAGATTGTCTGGGCAACGCAACCAGCTGCAAAAATCCGTTCATCCTGTTGGAGGCGCCGGATTTGGGCTTGCAGGAAGGAAAAAGCAGCACCGCTGTGCACGAAGGTGGTCCAAAAGCCCACAGATGGAGCCGACTAGCAGCGGGTTCCCTTGGCCTCTTCTCTCCTAGGGCTCCGAGAGAGTAACGGGCTCAAGGTCGCCCAGCTGGCTTTGCGCCCAGTTCAGGGTCTCTCCCAGTTTTCTTGCCTGATCAGTCTTAACCGTTATGCCAGCCTGGCTCTGGTCATATCCCTCCTCCAAGCCACTTAATGAACCCGGGTCACTTCAGCAATGGTTGTTTGCATTCCCACGTGTACATTTTAACCGGGGTTTGGTTGAGTCCGGGGAACGCTGGGAAACCCGAAGCTGGTGAATCCAGCCGGAGACAAGCTTGAACAAGTTGATGACAAGTTCGTCAAACGGAATTAAGCCAGGGACACTTTTCTTCCTGCAAGCACCACGTTCACACGAGAAACCAGGCTGGGCGTGCAGAGTTTGCTCAACCTGGTTAGGTTCTTTTTGCACCTGAGTATCTGGTGCCACTTCCCCAAAAATGGATTCATTCCCCACCCTAGTTAGGTTTAATTCAACTCACGCTTAAATTCGGGACCAACTGGGGGCACTGCCAGCCTGAGAATGTGCCCAGTTTGTGACAACCACTCGAGGAATGCCTGGAAAACCGCCTTAGCGGCGAAGGTGGCTCGTTCAGTCAATTTGGGACACCTCACAGCCCAGGAAAGAGGGGTTTCCTTCCGCAATCCGGGTTAAGGAGACCACAGACCTCTCTGCCTCACAACCAGGGGGCTGCCAGTTCGATCCTAGGTTAGAGGCTACTATTTGGAATACTCTCTCCTGCTCGAGCAGGGGGTTGGACTAGATGACCTCCAAGGTCCCTTCCGACTCTTTGTTATTCTAGGAGTACCCGTGGGGGGAGCTTGGTTCACCCTGCTCACAATTCTGTAGAGGAGGGAGAGAAGCACAGCCGCTCCCGAAGAAGAGAAGGAATGCTTGTGGTGCCTCCCAGTTCCTTCTTCTTCGGCTTCACACAACCCCTTAAACCAGGATGAAGGAAACCCACCCGGCCAGCCAGTCCCGGACTGGGGCTCGCACACACACACACACACACCCCCTCCCCATTTCCTCCCCGCCTCTGCCCTCAGAGGGATCCCCCTCCCTCCCCACGAGCGCCTCAACCCCCCAGGGAAGGAGGTGGCCCAAGCCCACCCCCTCAATTCCCTCCCGTGCCTCACCTGGATTGCAGGCGCCCAGGGCTCGCCCCCCAGAGGGGCTCCTGCCCGTCCATCCGCCTTGCGCTGCCCGGCTGCAAGATAGTCTGCGCGGGGACCCGCCCTCGGGGGGTGACGTCAGAGCCCCTCCCCTGCCCCGCCTCTCCCCCCCCCGGAGGGGGAGGCTTGGCCCGATCAGCTGGGGAGGGGTCCGCCTTGCCTTCTTGCCTTCCCACCCACCCTCCCCACGCAGCAGTTCCCTCCGCCGCCTTCATGAGGACAAGAAACTCGTCCTGCCCAAGAGAGGGGCTTTCCTGCTGCCTCCGTGCCAGCTGCTCAGCCCCTCCAAACTTGGCAACTTTAAGACTTGTGGACTTCAACTCCCAGAATTCTCCGGC